CCATCCATAAATGCCAGAAATGCTTGATATTTGATGCTTTTTAGCACAAAAATGGCCACCATTTGGCCATTTTGAATAGAATCGTCAAACCAATATATCTGTCCATCTATAACATGAAGTATAATGAATATTTAAAATTTGAACATAATCAGTGAAAGCAAGTCAGAGATATGGCACGAGAACCACATTCATTACTACAAAATGGCCGCCAGTCGGCCATTTTGAATCTTATCTGAAAAACAAAATTATTTGCATCAAGGTCCCATAATGTCTAATGTATATACCAAGTTTGAACAAAATACATCTGTAAACAGCCGAGAAATGCTTGATTTTTAGGATTTTTAGCACAAAAATGGCCGCCATTCGGCCATCTTGAATCAGATCGTGAAACAAATTGACGTGCATATGTATAATATCATGTATGATGTATATGTGAAGTGTGATTGTGATTGGTTCAGGCATTTCTAAGATACAGGTTCGGACGCACGCACAGACACACGCACACACGGAGGTTAAAACATAAGTCCCTGTTTTCGGACTGCGTCCGAACGGGGACTAATAAAAAGAACTACACAATAAGACGACAATGATTTGAGATTTATTTTAGTTTCTGCAGCAACAATAATCAATTATAATAAATTAGTTCATTTGTTTTTTGTATACATTACATGTTTTCTCAAAGCATGCACATGTTAGTTACCTTACTGAATAAATGCACTGAAATCAAAACTGTTTAAGTTTACTGACGTATATTAATTTAATGTTAGAAAACAGTCTTGTACATGCACAAAATAATTACTTAACATTGTTTATAAATATATATAATAATAATAATAATTTCATTTATTACATTATATAAAATGTACAACGTGATATCAAAAATACAATAAAAACTAAATAAATTATAATTACAGAGAGCATATCAAAATGAATCAATCATTGAATCCTTCTGCTTGAAAGCTTTATAAACACATTGACATAGGTTCAAAAACTGTGTTGTGGGGTGTTTAGAGTAAAAAGTACATCTTTTGGTAAATATATTTTGCTAATGTTTGAATGAGTAGGCAGATAAAAAGAAGATAGTATTTGTTCTCTTCATTTTGACAAACAATGTTGTACACAGATTACATTCCAGTTTGTCTTCCCGATGGAAATATAGAGCAACGGAAAAAGCAAACAAGTGAATGAAGAAATAATTACATGCAAAAATATTCCTGGTGCAAGCAAACATTTAAAGATAAAATACAATTTCAGTTTTATTGACATGATAGTTTTTCACTCTTGTTTTCCAATGTCTAAATGTACTAAAAGAAGATATTGCCAACTGCTTGAGAAATGCAGACATGTCCACCTGTCATATTTATCATGAAAACAGTAAATTTTGAATTGATGTTACCATGCGTGTATAACTATAGTATCTTAATTACGCAGCATAATCTTTGCTGGTTTTGCATCTGAAGCAACCTGATACAGAAACACATACAGCACTTCAAAGTGTAAATAACAATGGGAAGTCAACCATATTCACCAGTCACAAAGTAGTCATCTACATCATTTTATTTTAAATGAATTGTAATATCCTCATACATTTTTTGTATCTCTTACCTGTATGACAGTTTACATTGAACTTTAAAAGAAGTAATTAATAAATCATTTGGCAAAATTCATCATGAGCTTTATTTCCGTGGCTGGCTAAGTTTTATAAATATAGGACAACAGCTTGTATCAAGTAAAGACTACAAACCATTCATTTGTTCAGTCTATCAATATAATAAAATTCAAATAAAATTCAATTGTTCATCTGAGTCACATTACATGCATGAGGAAAGTCTTGTTGAGTCTATCTAACAAGACATGAATGTCATAGTCCCCTTCATTTAATTATAAAATACTCATGTTGAAATAATACATAATGAAAACAATTGAATTAATACATTGTATGTACTCTATGTAGGTACAACTCATCATAAAGTGATTTCCCTTAATCTGATAACTGAAAACTTTCATTGACCCGGGTCCAAAATCTCACAGTACACAAGTGCAACCAAACTACATGTATGTCTCATACATGTACATGCTCAAGAAACTGCATTCATAAATCTGAGTAAACCTTGATGTACCTTTAATAACAACTTGACATCTTCAGGTCAAGTGACTAATTCTGGTCTTTGTATATTACCAGGACCTGGGTCTGTTTCAGTATCACCACTAAAATTCCCATCAAAATGTAGTCCTGGCACCCCTCTACAATTTCCACTGAGATTGGTAATGGTATGACCCATCTGTCACTGATTCAGATCAAGGTCATGACCAGGTCATGGCATCACTAAAAACCCTAGCATTACAATCTAAGCTAATTATTTATTCTGAGCATGCTCAGTTGTTCTCTCAGTGGTGTTGGGAGAGGTAGTTTTGGATGAAAATCATGAAAAGGGAAATAAGAAAATATAGTCCGCCTTT